TCTCTCTCTCTCTCTCTCTCTCTCTCCTTTCCAAAAATGTTGTGGACATGATCATTGTGGTAGTCCTTCAATCTGGCTATTCTCAAGAGCTTTTATCTGAAATAATCTTTTGTCGCTGAGTAAATCTCAAGATGCAAGATCTCATATTGTGAGACAGAAGTTATGGCAAGAACTCCGCAAAACGTTAGGCTCTGACATCTGCTGTCTGCTGTGATGGACACACACTGAAACCCGACGTCTGTGGTGTAGCGGTTAGGCGCTTTGCTGTCACCCCTAACCCCTAACCCCTGAAACGTTTAATTTTGCGAAAGATCAATGAATAATACATGTATCCGTTCACATCCATTGTCACAGCGAAAGATAATACCAAGAACTAAAAGGATTGTATCCAGATTGTCAACAATGAAACAGCAACAACAAAGTACATATTATTATTAATGCTTTCTGTGATATTCGTAGTATTAGTTTTGTATTGCTACAGTAGCTGCGGCTGCTGCGAACTGACAGTACAAGAACTATTTCTGCTGCTGCTGCTACTACTACTACTACTACTACTACTACTACTACTACTACTACTACTACTACTATTACTACTACTACTACTACCACTACCACTACTACCATTGCTACTACTACTTTTACTACTACTACTGTCGAATAGGGCCTAAATACAACAATTTATAATACTAGACATGTATTGCAACACAATATGGCAAGCCTAGTGAACCCTGGCATGAGTTGGGGTTACGATTTTCAAAGTAAAATGGTGCATATATCTATTTCTAAGCAGTATAATTAATTACTGTCGCACTCAAGAATCACTTCTCTTAAATCAGTGTTCCATACTAAAGCACCAGTCTTAATAAGGTACTGGTAACTTTGATTTACTCTACTTTAAAAAAAAAAATCTGCCTTTTAATCTCACCTCAACTTACTCGATCATTACTTTGTAGATGTATTACTTTTCGATTCTGTTGATACGTCAAACGGCGACGTGTATCCTGACAAAATTAGATCTTTTCAAAGAAAGGGGGAAACAATGGGGCTCAGAAATATCGACATTGAGAATTACCAACAGTATAACTGGGTATTCTAGTACTTATAAGGTACTGTGTATATATAATTTTTAGATTAGATTAGGAATTGCTAAGTACACGTATTAATAAACAACATCGACCTGATACCCCATTTGGTATACGGAACTTTTTCACAATCTCAAAAGCTGGAAGTAACCGATAACGAATTTATCAATTATTTGTTACTTTCATGCATGGGAGAAACGTAAACACATGGCTCACATGGCGGACGAAGATATCGGCATGGTAAGTTTGCGAATGTCAATTTCATGGTTATACGGAGGCCATGGATTTAAGATGGCTCTATGCTTCATGTGGATATAGATCTTGTCTTAATAAAGTCTATATACAATCGTAGATCTAGATTTAGAATCTAGATCTAGATGTAGATTCTAGATCTAGACTCTAGATCTAGACTTTCCGCATATACCCATGTCCTGTCTCCCACTCCCAGTCCCTACGTAATGAAATGCAGTTGCAGTGAGCTCAGAGAGGCAGTGACTGAGTCTGAGTCTGAGAGGGCGCTTTTTCGGTAGTTCCCACCCCGCAATTGTTATTCACGGGTTTTGACCCCAAGAGTAGGGGGGTTTCAGGGGGGCTTGCCCCCCTGACCTAAAAAAAAATAGGAAGGGGGGTTTCAGGGGGGCATGCCCCCCTGAATTTTACCACAATTTAATGTTTTGCTGTTGTTAGGTTTGATATCTTAGCTCACCGCGAATCAAACATATACATATAGATCTAGATTTCTAGATCTAGATGTAGGTCAGGCTCAAATAAGGGGGGTGGGAACTACCGAAAAAGCACCTCTGAGAGTCTCCTTCTAACCTTCTTTCACTTAGAATCTAATCTAGGACTAAATCTAGATATATATCTAGATCTAGAAATAGATCTCTAGATATCTAGACCTAGAATCTAGATCTAGACAGGGGCACTCCTGTACAATTGCGGTCCCGTTTAAGGATACTCGTTTGGCTGTGGATATTACTGTGGCTGTGACAGCCCTCCCGTACGTAGCCGACTCATAGCTAATCTAGATCTAGATCTAGATCTCTATGTGTATGGCCCTCCCTCTCGTCTGAATATTCAGGTACTTCAATTGTGGTTGGGGCAACGTTCCCGGACTAGATTTATATACACTTCATTTGAAAATGCCTTATTGAAGGTACTGCGAGAAAACAAGACTGCTTGACTTTGGCAGTAACCTGTTTTGGGGAGGACTTCCGTAACGAGCCACCACTATGAGACAGAGCCACAGAATTCTACACTTATAGAAGCGGAACTCCCTCTTCGCGATCACCGATTCGCTGTGAGGAATTGAAACTAAAACATGGCGGCCGGTTGAGGGCACCTTTGGCTGCGCCGCACAGCGAGGCTTCGCGTTGCTATGCACGCTGATGCTAGTGGTAGGGCTTGGAAGACAACTTACATCAGTATTTTAAAACTTTCTTCGAAGAGGAAATATAGTGAAATAGTCTAGTACCTTTTTATTATGTCATAATTGGCAATGTTACAATGTTTTTGTATTTGTATTGTTGGTTTGTTGTTTTTTTTAATGATGGGAAGGGATCTAGATCTAGATAGATCTAGATCTCTGATCTACTAAAGATCTTCACAATCACAATACACTTGATAATAACACTAATTATGAACATTAATTCTGTTGGCAAAATATCTAGATATAGTCTTGATTAGTACTAGATCTACGATAAGGGGACGCTGACAGTAACATGCTCACTACAATAATATTGTCATTAAACTTAAGATCCAAAGCAAGCAAAAAAGAACAATATAAGCCTTTTCTCCAATGTATTAGAAAGAGATAAATAAATTGAGCTTATATTGAGGAAATGTATTATTTCTCACTTTAAGAATTCATCTCTGTGTTTGCATCAGTAGTGTGTACAACAACATGCTTTGTTTAAAGCATGTGCGAGTCTAACAAATACAAGAGATTGGAGAATGTGTCGGTTGCACATAAAATACATAGGCCTATTGTACATGCTGCCAAAAACACAAAAATGCAGAAAAGGCCTCAAAATATTGGTTTACACATAAAAGCCAATAATGCAAAACAAAGTAAACAAGAGTGGAACTGGCATAATAATATGTTTCCTGAATATATGTTCAAAGTCATTTTCTGTGCGTTGGGAGTGTGATTTCTAATGCATGAATGATAGGCTCATTTAGATGTGATAATGAAGAAACTTGTGTCTACAGTCACAACAGAAAGAGTTCCATGGCGAGTGATCACTGGTCAAGGATTTCAGAGCTGTGTGCATTTTGAGAAAAATGTATCCCCATACCCTGGATCACATGTCGAGGGGGTAGGCTTGTCCCCCTGTAATCCCTGCACACAGTAAACAAAGACATATTTTTGAACACGAATAAGAAAAAATAAGTGGTCTCTTGTTACGGATCAAATTGAAGTCCTGTTTCAATTCGATTAATTGATAAAAGTGCGTATCGCAATGCGTTGGCCACCCCTGCCCTATAAGACTATGCTATTTAATAAATACATTTGTCAGACCTGGAATCTTTAATCCTCGCACACAGTAAACAAACACACATTTTTGAACACGTAAGAAAAAGTAAGTGTTGTCTTGTTACGGATCAAATCGAAGTCCTGATACAATTCAATTAATTGATAAAAGCGTGTATCGCAAGGCATCGGCTAACCCAGCACTATTACGCTATTTTATAAATACATTCGTCAGATCTGGAATCTTTAATCTTTAATTTTTAATCCCCGCACACAGTAAACAAACACACATTTTTGAACACGTAAGAAAAAATAAGTGTTGTCTTGTTACGGATCAAATCGAAGTCCTGATACAATTCAATTAATTGATAAAAGCGTGTATCGCAAGGCATCGGCTAACCCAGCACTATTACGCTATTTTATAAATACATTCGTCAGATCTGGAATCTTTAATCTTTAATTTTTAATCCCCGCACACAGTAAACAAACACACATTTTTGAACACGTAAGAAAAAATAAGTGTTGTCTTGTTACGGATCAAATCGAAGTCCTGATACAATTCAATTAATTGATAAAAGCGTGTATCGCAAGGCATCGGCTAACCCAGCACTATTACGCTATTTTATAAATACATTCGTCAGATCTGGAATCTTTAATCTTTAATTTTTAATCCCCGCACACAGTAAACAAACACACATTTTTGAACACGTAAGAAAAAATAAGTGTTGTCTTGTTACGGATCAAATCGAAGTCCTGTTACAATTCAATTAATTGATAAAAGCGTGTATCGCAAAGCATCGGCTAACCCAGCACTATTACGCTATTTTATAAATACATTCGTCAGATCTGGAATCTTTAATCTTTAATTTTTAATCCCCGCACACAGTAAACAAACACACATTTTTGAACACGTAAGAAAAAATAAGTGTTGTCTTGTTACGGATCAAATCGAAGTCCTGATACAATTCAATTAATTGATAAAAGCGTGTATCGCAAGGCATCGGCTAACCCAGCACTATTACGCTATTTTATAAATACATTCGTCAGATCTGGAATCTTTAATCTTTAATTTTTAATCCCCGCACACAGTAAACAAACACACATTCATGAACACGTATAAAAAAATAAGTGGTCTCTTAATGTTACGGATCAAATTGAAGTCTAGTTACAATTCAATAATTTATAATAGCGCGCATTGCAATGCATTGGCTAACTCAACATTATACGCTATTTAATAATACATTCGGCAGATTTGAAATCTTAAATTATAATCATAATTAAATGAGCCCGCGCGTGGGAAGTGAAAGTGAAAGGAATTGAAAATGCTTTCAAAAACAATTCTGAAAGCAACATAATTAAAGTTGGACTACATGTGCTTATACAGGCCCAAAAAGGTGTATGGATGCGGAAATAAATGTTTCGGATGAAAATAATACGCTATACTACTGTAGCATGCGGGTCAAAAATTTGATGCGCAACTTATTATCAAATATCGCTAGGCTACTGAACTATCGAACACCTAGATCTAGATTCTCCTACGTTTACACAATGACTTAGATCTATATATCAATTCGTCTTAACCGATGAGTATTTTTTTCAAACATTTGCACACATCTATAGGTTCTATATTATTGTAGAAATTTCTTTAAAGAAAATTCTTTAATAAATACAAGCCCAATATAAAAAAAAACAATCCCAGTCAATGGTTTCTACTGATTTTTAACAAGTTTATAGCTGGAGCTAAATCTCTTTTAAAAGCAAGTCCGTCCTTTTTTCTACTTCTGCTGGCGACATAAAGTTAATTATTGAACGCATGTTTTGAGAACATTAATTAGATCTAGTGAAAAAATATGTTCAGTGTAAAACAAATTTCTTGTAACAAGTTTTGCTACTAAAAAATTACGTAGGCCATATGCGTATGCAAAATGTGTGTGGGAAGCTAGAAGTGCTGTGAACAATCCCATCCGTGTTACGATTTTTTTCACAGTTCTGTAGATCTTATATTTATAAACTCTCTATGTCTGCTGTTTCTGTTGTTGCACCCAAAAACACAACAATTTAAAACCTTAATTCCAATCTCTAGTTGCACAGTGAATTCTGTAACTCAAAATTACAAACTGGACAGTAAATGTTCCACTTTTCACTCGTTTGTAAAAGCCGCTATTGCTTTAAAAGCTATAGGGTTACTTCCGAAAACGATAAATCGTGCCCTCAAGACGCCATTGTTTTCGGTCTTCAATTCCTCACAGGTCACGTGGTACAGTTCCCGTTCTATAAGTGTAGAATTCTGTGGACAGAGCAGAATTGAGGGCTTGGGGTAGGGTTAGGGTTAGGTCTAGGCCTCTTCTTTATATTATTGTTTGATGGGGTGGTCGCTCGTTACGGAAGTCCTTCCCTATTTTGCTTTATTTTAGTCACCCTCAAAGCAAAACAAAAACGAAGTGTATACAGACCCGGTAGGGGAACTCTTTTGTTATGTCGAAAAGTTTCAGAGCCCAGACCCGGTAGTATGTGTGAGTGAGAGAGAGCAAGAGAGCGAGCATAGGGAAATGCTAGCAAAATGCATATATGACATGCCCCAGTTTACAGGAGGGAACGAGAGACAGATAGAGTGGGAAATAGGTGGGGAGAAAGAAAGACAGAGACAAACAAAGGAAAAGAGAATGCGAGCGATACACAGAGAGAGAGAGAGAGAGAGAGCGTGACTGCTCGATTGAAATTATGACATTGCTCTTTTCTTCAAATTGTGATTCCTCCAACTCCGAAAATGGAGGAAAAACAATGGTTCATCGAAAAGACATCACAATTTTCATTTAAATCTAGATCTAGATCTAGGCTAACCTCGAAACTAGATCAATGATTTATGTCTGTCTGTCTAGATCGAGACCTAGGCCATAGATCTAGAAGAACCTAGGTCTACCCTGAGCCAAGAGGGCGCTGAAACTTTCCGAAATCACAAAAGAGTTTGCCTACCGGGTCTGTATACTTTGTGACTTTGTTCCCGGTTACTGGGTCTGTATACACTCCCAAACAAAAAATCCCCACACACACACACACACACACGCGCGCGCGCGCATGCACGAGGGCCACTTCATTCGCTAATAGCCAAAAAATCTTGAGAAGGAAGGCCGATTGGAGAAACAGAGTTGAAGTTTATTTTCCTGACAGTTCGGAGAAATAGAGCCGATGTATGCAAATCCGTCTTTCTATTAAATATTAAATATATGTGGTAATTATATTGTAATAACCATAATAACTATTTTGTCTTTGTCATTTTTTTTGCCCCCTTTCTCGCTTTCTTGCTACATTTCCATTCATTTTTGTCTTGTTATTTTTTATCTCCAGGAGTCGTTTGACATGAGTGATGATGAGGACAAGGTGGATGATGCAGCCCACGGGAAGCTCATTTCCTCCATTCAGTCCTTGGATGGAAAAAAGAAGTATGCTTTTGCAGTTACTTGGATTTTCTTCTCTTTTTGAAAAAAATCAGACCTTTGACAAACTGAATTTTAGATAGATCTATTAATTGTTTTAAAAATTCTTATTATGCTGTTCATTTTCTCCTTCTTGATAAAAAGAAACTATTAATCGACAAAGGATCACTTGCTTCCTCTGTAACTTGGGATGGGTAGAAAATCAAGCCCCTTTGATTTTTTAAGGTGAAAATAGGGTGCTGTTTCAGTTGGACTGTTCAGGCCTCTGAATCATGATTAAAAGAATACTTGATTTTACAGTAGTTTTCAGTCTCAAGTAGTGATTGTTATGTTACAGCGAATTCTATTTCATCCTCTACTTTGGTGTTTCACTGAGGTGAAAGACTATACCCTTCAAGAAATAAATTTGCCATCTTTGAAAAAGTATTTTTATTTCAAAGGCTGAGACTTCTTTAAATACTGCGCCTTTAAATCACTCTTTCACATCAATAAGGATAAGAGCATTGTTTTGTATTGAGTTAGCTAATGATGCTGTAAGTACTAACATCATGGTCACCTTTTTTGTGTGTGATTTTAGACACAAAAAGACCATCCGAGGAATTCCAGTGGCCCCTACCAATCTGGATCTGGTTGTTCATGCTAACAGAGGTATGTAGACTAGTGTGTTTTTTTGTTCGAAACCCCACACCCCCACCCCATACCCACTACACCATTTGTCGGAGTGTAATTTTCATGGGAAATGTTAATAGAAGCTGACATTTTCCTTAAGGCTAGACCCACACAGGCGTCAGGGCCCGAACCGATTATTTTTTGCCGACTGTGCCATCTATACCGCTACCGGTACCCAACGATCGATCAGACAACATCAGTTTAGTAGTAGAAAATGGCGTGTAGCAGGAGGAGAAAGTTGTTGGTCTTGTTGTTAAGGGAGGGGGGGGGGGGGCTCTCGTGGTCTACGGGTTACGTTGTTTGCCTCTCATTCAGCAGGCTCCAGGCTCGAAACTTGACAGCGACGGAAAATTTGCTCCTTTTACCTCCTTTCCTCCTCTCATGTTCTCCTCGTGGCGAGCGCCGTAAAACGCTCTCAAAGCAAAAACCAACAGACTGGCGGGAAAGGGGAAAGAATTAATAGAGGCAAGGTCTACGAAAATTATCCCACTTTGGCCGGACGGACGGCATGGAATGAGTTCCATTCCTAAACAGTCTGGTCTAGGACATCTGGTTTTGGTGTGGGTGGGTTGCCGTTTTTTATAACCTGTCGTTACTGTTCTGCCGGCGTTTATTCTTCTGTATTGGAAAATGGTCCGGTCTGACCGTTGGGCCCGATGCCGGTGTGGGTCTACCCTAAAGATATTCTCTTGCATTGCACAAGAGTATGAGGCTTATGTCTCGTATCATTTTGACTGGCAGCCTGACTTTTTATTATATTCTAAAGGACAAATTCCTTCTCTGAAACTATCCTGGAAGGTGATTTTCGAGACTGAATTTTCTGATTTGAGTGATTCTCTAGATTCGAAGCCAACATAAAATTAAAAGTGTTTTTCTTAATTATTGTTAAGTACTTCAATTAGGAACTGGAAACTACTTTTAGAAGTGAAAAGGGGAGTGTATAATGTGAAGACTACAGGGGAAACGACTGTAGTGACAAACTGAAAATCGTGAGGGTGCCAATTTTTAAAACTTGTGGACTCATAACTTTATATTTGTTTGACTGGTGGTTTGTTATTAAATGTTTTTGAATGGGAAATCTAACAACAATAATCAACCAACAGTTGAACATATACAATTATGAGTCAACAAGCGTTCAAAATTGGTACCCTCCTGATTTTCAGTTTGTGACTGCAGTCGCTTTTCCCCTGTAGTTTTCAACCATTTCAACCAACAAGAGGAGCTGATCTGGCGAAAATGCTTGTGTGTAGATTGGACGCAGTCAGTAGAGATGGTAAAGAGTGTGGTGGATTTAGGAAACCTCATATTTTGCTTACCCATCTGATGTCATTGTCTTTTATCTTGTGGGGGGGAGGGGGGTGTTGTCGGGGTTTTTTTTTAATCGATTAAAAATATTATTTAAACCACCAAATGATTCCGTTAAAGCTGAATCGTTTTTTCTTTATGTCAGATGCATCGAAGATCAAGGCAGAGGATCTGAAGTTGAGGCCAAATCTTGGCAAAACAGAGCTGAAAAAGCCCATGAGCTCTGGAGAGCTAGAGGCGGTAATGTACTTTTGCAGTCGTTTTATTTTTCTAAATTTTTGGGGGGGTTGTTGTTTTTTTTAAACGTGTTTTTGAGCTATTCCTTTATTTTGACGACAGTGTGGGTGGCACTTGCGGCAGGTTACTTTTCTTTCTTAATTACTTTTCTTTCCTAACTTTCTAAAAATTTTTTTTTTGTCTGTGTCTCTTTACCCTGTATGCTGTTTATTAATGTATTCTATTTTGATTATTATATTATTATTATTATTGTGAACTAATTCAACAGTGTTTTGAATATAATGTTGTGGGTAGTTTACGGGTGCTCTGGTGTGGTTTGCTTCTTCTTTCCTATCAAGTGTCTATCGTCCTTATCTCTCCTCGTTTTTATGTTTGTTACTCTCTAGTAACACGTCTAATCTTCGGCACTTCTATGACCGTATTGTATTGCAAATGCCATAAAACACTTATAATTAAAACTAAAGATGAATGTAATTTTGATTGTGTCTTTCCTAACAGGCCAAGCGTCAGATTGCAAGAGACTCCATGGTGAAGGAAACTACAAAGTGGGACCCTGTGGTCCGAGAAATGAGGCTTGTGAGTGTTTATGTCAGGCTACGTGTACTTTATCTGGATATCTTCTTCTACCACCACTACCTCTTCTGCCTTTTTTTCTTCTTCTTCTTCTTTTTCTTCTTCTTCTTCTTCTTCTTCTTCTTCTTCTTCTTCTTCTTCTTCTTCTTCCTCTTCCTCTTCCTCTTCCTCTTCCTCTTCCTCTTCATTGTCTGTCTTTTCTAGTATAGCTCCTCTTGGAAATTCTGAGGAGAAAAAAACAACTTTCAAGACCTGATTTGCAAAAATAATAATGAGAACAAAGCCTCTGTGCATCAATGCGAGTCATCTCCTTGACCATTTGTCACATTGCAGCTCCAGATGTACTTTGAATAGCTTGAATTTTCTATTGAATGAAGAAAAGTGTGTATGGAGGGTTTGGAGGGCAGTTATTTGGCCTGTGCCCACCATGCCACTGACCCCCCGCATGGATGAAGTCTGTTTGTGGGTGGTTGGCGGATGCTCTGATGTTGTTTGCTCCTTCTTTCCTATCAAACATTTATTATCCTTGTCTCTCCTCTTTTTTTTTGTGATTGTAACATCTCTAATCTTCGGCACTTATATGACCTTATATTATGTTGCATATGCCTTAAAACTCTTAATAAAAACCAAGAGTCTGGATGGGGTTTTTTTGGTGTTGTGAAAAGTTGACATCTGTTGTGTTATGACCGTGACGATATTTGGAGTGGGAGTAAGTTTATCCAGAATCTCCATCGTCTGTCTGTTGGTATGTGGTGTCCCACTAAGCTTGGGTTGGCCCTCACAGGTAGATTAGATGCATCTCACCTCCCAATTGATCTATATTGTGTTGATAAAGCCATAAAACATTAACAGTTAATATTATTAATCTATCAGTACCAAAGAACCTTTCCTGTGGGTGGTTGGCAGGTGCTTTGGTGTGGTTTGCTCCTTCTTTCCTATGAAACAACTATCGTCCTTATCTCTCCTTTTTGGAATTGTTACCCTCTTTTAGCAGCTCTAATTTTCTGCAAGTTTATGACCTAGGTGTGTTGCAAGTGCTGTAAAACTCTAACTAAAAGTAAATGAAATTATTAACTCCTTTTAAACCATTTTTCATTTCAGGCTCCCCAGACAAGTTACACCAAACGAGAACATGGCATTGCTCTGTACGAGACCCTTCGGCCCAAGCAGTTTGTTGTGAGTTTAACATTTTATTTCATTACAGAAGGTGCTCTGAGTTACATTGAGTTACCTTTTTATGATAATTGTATCTCTGCGACGATGATTTCTGCTGTTTCAGACACTGATTTTTAAAAAAATAAGATTTTCAGGGGTCTTGCTAATTTTACCTCTGACACCAGGTGACCTCCTCCTCCTTCAATCTCAAATATCTCGACTTCTATTCCAGATAGATAGATATTTTTTTCATCAAAAGCAAGACAAATGAACCATCTTTTAGATTTTATATTAAGAACTTCATATGCTCAAAAGTAGATAAGCGACTGATTCCACCATGTCGTGGCACATGGCCTTCTGCAAGTCGATTTAGGTTAAAGTTTTCAGTTACAATTACATGTAGAAACCCAAGCTCTTACCCAGAGCTGTTAAAGTACTTTTAAAAAGGTACTTAAGTACAAATTTAAGTACAATCTAAAATATGTACTTAAGTACAGTAAAAGTACTTTCCTGTAAAATGTACTTGAGTTCAAGTACTTTTTTAAAAAGTGCTTACGAGTACATTTTGAGTACTTTCTGCTAATATGCTAAAACACTTCAGTGCTAATGCAAAACATCATATTGAATAACATATCTATTATATTTGACAAATTAAGCCATTTATTACTAATAATGTAAACAGTATACAAAGTATTTGAATATGTGCTTTAAAAATACTCAAAAGTACTTTTATAAAAAAAGTATCAAGAGTACAGTAAAAGTACTGGTTCTCAAAATGTACCGGAGTACAGTAAAAGTACTGAAAATTGTAACGTAAGTACAAGTACCGGTGTACTCCGTTACAACAAGCTCTGCTCTTACCCCTTCCTGAAAATGTTTCTCATTGCTGGTTTGCTTGGTATAATTCCTAATCTGAATTCAAGTTGATACTAAGTGGGTGGTTGGAGGGTGCCGCTGGAAGATCTTGTGTCTTTTCTTTTCCTTTGTTGTTTCTGTCTTTATGTTTTGCTTTTTCCTGCTTTCTCTAAACAACCATCATTCTGTTGATGTGCTTTTCTTTGCTCAGACAAAAGAAACAATGTATTTGTCTGTAAACATCTGTCAGTAGAAGCAAGTAATTATCAGTATGTGTTGGTGGGTGGTTTGCCGGCGCTCTGGTTTGTTTTGCGCTTTCTTTCATGTATATATATTAAACATCTGTCGTCATTGTCTCGCTTCTGTCTTTTCTTTGTATGTTATGGTACTCTCTAGCAACACCTTTAAATCTTTGGCACTTACCTGAACTGTGTTGTAAGTGCCTTAACCCTATCCATACGCCCTGTGGTCATTTTGTACCCTCGGGGTTGTATTCTTCACATTTAAGAATACTTCTAGTGTGAAGATCTCTTTGATACTTTCAGTATTTCTCAAAAAATCATTTTGACAGACTGCTCTTTGGAAAATGGTGGCTTAGAGTTCCCCACATCGTATGGATACGATGGTAAAACACGAAGTAAAGATAGGGTTAAAACTTTAAAAAATAAAACTAAGCTAAATCAGTATTTGTTGTGACTCATGTTCTAAATGTAATTTGTATTGTCCTCCCTGTAGCCGAGAACACCTCTGGAACAAGAGCTGTATGCGGCCCTGGGCAAGAGTGAGGATATTCTGAAACCTGACAAGGAGATGACTGTAGCAGAGGAAAAAGCTCTCAAGGCCATGTCTATCAAGGAGGTAATTTTGTCACTTACCAGCTTTAGTGAGCGGGTGTTAGGAGGGTGTATGTAGTCTTTCCTGCTACTTTACTATGCTTCGGCTGTTTCTCTTTTGTCTGTGTTGCTTATTTGTCGTGAGCCAGAGTTTCGATTACCCCCCTGGGCAGTGTCACTGACTGAAGTGTCTTTAGGCCATTCCCAAAGGGGGAACATTTTCATTCAAGCATAGTAGAATTGTAAATGGGCTGACTCTTGTCACGCTCATAACTATGTCTGATCTACAACAGAGAACTGCTGCGTTTTCTTTTCTGATCCTTACTATTGTCATTTTTCCTCTACTTCTTTTGTATGTTTGTCACTCTCTTGTGACCTGCTATTTTGGGGTGCCTTGATAGTTGAAGCAGACCTTGTGCTGTTGAAGCTAGAGAGGTGAGCAGTCTAAGTCTGATTCCCTGTAAAGACTTGTCTGTTGACACCCACCCCTTGGCGCTCATATGACCATATGCAGTTGCGAGCGCTGTAAAACCCTCTACTATTTAAAAAAAAAGAGTTTCCATCATTGTACCATAAAATGCTTTTCTTTTACTAAAAAACGCATTGTATAGTTTTACTTAAATCCGGTAGACTGCTGTCTATTCCTCTCAAACCTTTTTAATCTACATTTGAGCACGTTGTTGAAGGCCACCAGTGCTGGGTCCTACTTCTTTTCTTTCTGTTACTTCTGTCTTTCTTGCTTTTTCCAAGTTCTAAATGACTGTTATTGTGCTTCCTTTTGCTCAACCTTACTCAATCTAAAACTTGTACTAAAATATTGCCTATTTTTGTCCTCTACAATGGATGGTCATCTTACACAGGTAAGACTGCTCTTACAGCCACCTGTATATATTTTTAAGCCTTATTTTTGTCTATCTCCAAAATTTGTGAATCGTAGTTTTTTGTTAATTTTTTTCAAACGTATTTTTTATCATGGAAACTATTTATATAGCGTTTGTTAGCGAGAGAAATATTTGTCATTATTTTCTGTTCTTTTTTTCATTCCTTCTAGGCTCGAGCCAGGCGTGCGGAGCTGATGCAACATCATGAACTTTTGTCTCGCATGGAGCTCAAAGCCAAACGTTTGAAACGTATCAAAAGTAAAAGGTACGTACAATGAAACCTACTCTAATGGCTACCTGTTTAAGACAAGCATCTGTACTAATGTCTACTTCCCATATCCTCCCTTGCATTATTTTTTTTTGGCGGGCACCTGGTCTAAGACAACCAGTTTTCTGCTCGAAAATGAGTAGCTGTCTCAGAATATTTTGGTGTGGTATTACAACCAGTGGTGGCAGAGGTTTGAGAGTGGATGGTTATCGGGTCGTCTGTTGTGGTTTGGTTCTTCTTTCCTATCAGAAGATTGTCCTTATCTTTCCTCCCTTTTTTAAAAACTCTTTATTATTAACACCTCAAATCTTTGGCACTCATATGACCTAATTGTGTTGCAGTGCCGAAGCTAAAAGTAAAACTATGAGGTTTGAGTAACTGCGCTGTTCTTTTTTATTCTATTGAGTCAAGTGAGCTACATTTTCTGAGAATCTCTCAAATATTTTCACTCTATTCTAGTCAGCTCTCTAGTTAATGTAATTTTTGTTTGTTTTGTTCTCAATTTGTGAGAATTGGGAAAGGGGGGGGTTCTCTTTCAGACTTTGATGGCAAATAAGGTTGGCCTTTTCAGGGGGGTTTTCGACAGTGGTTAGTATTGGGCAGACCTGTCTATAACGGCCACTCATTATTAAGGAGAAAAATGTCCGTATAACATAGGCAGGACTGATCAAAATGAAGAAAGCAAACCATTCCCGTATTGAGGTCCAAACCGGGGCTGATCTCGGGCTTTGCACTGCCGTAAGGCAAATTCAAAAGAGGTTTTATTTTCTTTTGAAAAAATAGGGTGGGTAGTGTAAGAATTTTTTTTGTTGGTTTTTTTTTTTTTTTTACGTTGGTTAGCCTTTTTTTGTTGCTGATTTTGTGCAAGGGCAAAATAAACAGAATATTTTGTAAGACGATGAAGACCGAGTATGTATGGTAAAACAAACACACGGGTAGCCACCACTCGGAAAACGAGCGACGCTTCTGTTGCAAGTTCACGTTAACGCCTATTGTTACTTTGTTACAGATTATTTTAATTTTGCCGAATTTTGATTGGCACCATTTTGACAAAGGATGCTTTTTCAAATCGTTCCCTAGGTATCGTAAAATACTACGCAAGGAGAAAGAGGCAGTTGACAAAAAAGAGCTGGAACAGCTGCGGCACACAGACCCAGAAGCGTTTATGGAGAGAATGGAACAGCTGGAGAGGGCTCGCATGGAGGTGAGACAAGCTCTTTTTGTCTTGTTAGTCAAGTGGAAACGAAACCTGTGTTCATTGTTGGTAGAAAATTTACCGTGTAATGACTCTTTTTATCTGTCATGTAAAGACTCTTCAGTGACTTTTTTCTGGATTCCACATGGGTGACTGCCATGCCCAGGGATTTTGGATAAAATAGCAATGACTATCCTATGTTGTAGGGAAAGTTAATTACAAAGTCAAGTCTCTTTGTCAGTTTGTGTAGCCTCACATCTGCATGAAATTGTCCAGATTCTGCTCAACTTTGGGGTAATCCTTGCATAGTATAAAAAGTCTCGATACAAGATGTAATAAACAATATGATCCATCAATTTTTTGTCCCAGTGCATGCATTTCCTCATTAGTCTGAAACATTCAGAGTTTTTTTCCTGTACCCAATTGGCACCACTCATAATAATTCTGTTGTCTACAGCACATTCGCTCCCTGAGTCTATGGCTGTCACTTTTTATTTTTTATTTTCACAGGAGCGTCTCACTCTCAAGCACAGAGGAGGAGGCAAATTCTCAAGGCTACATAAAGCTTACAGCAAATTTGATGATAAGGTATGGCATATTTTGTTTGTATGAATCGTCATGAGCAGAACACTAATGTCCAAGTCTTTTTCTTTCTATTTTGGAGAAAATATTACTGTGAACTTCGAACATGTTGCAGAAGTTCATGTTGTACAGCTTGCAAATTTCCACTTATATCTTATATTCTTCTTATTTAAAGCACTTAGATATTGTTATTGTTGGAAGGGAATGTAAGGAATTGATCCTTCAATCTAAGAGATTATAGTAATCCCTCAATGTAGGGATTTTAATAACCCATTTATCTAGGGGAAATAATCCCTTAAATTCACTTTCAACAACACTATCCGAATGCTGTAGATAGAAGCTGAATCTTTTAATGTACAAAAAATGGAATGCATAATGTTTTCTTTTCACTTTGATGTTTGGTAACAGAACTGTGTATATGCCTGTACGAGGCCCCACATTAACTGTATGTAAAATCTTTAAATCTTTAGTGCTTTGCTTCCTTCTTTCTTTTTTTTTTGTGTCCCCCCTTGTTGTTAACCTTTGTACAATTTTTCTGTCCTCCAGACACGGACCGCTGTACAAGACATGCTGCAGAAGAGCAAGGAATTGACAAAGAAGACGCATGGGGACTCAAGCAGTGATGATGAGGAAGAGGAGGAGGAGAAGAAGAAAAAGGATGAAGAATCTGCGAAAGCCAACGACAGTGATGAAGACACGGGGGTGTCGAACCAGAGAGCCATGAGTGTTGGGAAGTCTGTAAGTAAACTGGCTGGTGGCTGGCTGGATGGTCCGACAAAGTTTGTCTACACTCAGAAGGAGGCAGCCTCCCAGAACGCAGCGAGCGGTGCAGATGAGGTCAAAGGTCATAGAGAAGTGGTTGAAGGTCAGGGCGCTCCTCCCAGTTCGTCAGAAGATGGTAAACTTGGCAATTCTTCCCAGAAAGTGCTTCCTGATGTCAACGGTCTTGACTCGGAAGACGAGACTGGTCTTGCGGAGAAGCCAACGACAGAGAAGAAAGTTGTCAGCAAAAAGAAAAGATCAGCAGCAGAAATGGCTGGCTCGGCAGATAGTGAAGATCCTCTTGCGTCCATCTCGACTACCACTGAGGAGGTTGTTGTGGAAAAGAGTTTGTCAGAGGAGCCAAAGAGCAAGAAGAGGAAAAAAAACAAAAAGAAAAAAGGAAAAGAGGGGGCTGGTGAGGAAGTGAGCGAGGGTGCCGCAGATAAACCTGTGCGGGAGACGACGCTGCAGGCGATGGGTGACGACGAGAGGGAGAAAGAAATGGAGGAGGAGGAGGAAGACGATGGCGAGGGCAGCATGAAGGTCTCGATGGAAGAGCTGTTTCAAGACGAGGACTTCTTGGAAGAGTTTGCAAAGGACAAGGCGGAGCTGGAGGCGAAGAGCAGGCCCAAGGTGGAGGACACGACGCTGCCAGGTTGGGGGGCGTGGGCCGGGCCCGACTACAAAGAAATGCCGAAGAAGAAAGCTGGGAACAAGAAAAGGTAAGTTGGGTTTGGTTGGGTTTTTATTATTTATTTTTTTTAGACCTGCCGAGTGCTCCCATAAAATCGGAGCCCTCCGATTTTTAATTAATTTTTTTTTAAATCTGGAAGAGCCTGGATTGGATTTGCATGAAATCTTTTTTTTTTCCCTGAATTCCGTTTCCATTGGTTGTGTGCAACTTATGAAAATGGTGTGGAAATATACATCTGTTTTCACATATTTACAATATACTTTTATTGGGCTTAGTCGGTTCATAATGTAATCTAAATCTACTGGGGTTTTGGAGACTCTGATTTAAAAAAAAAAAATTTTTTAATACACATAACTCCAGATTTTATAGGGAGGATTCTGAGGGAAACTGAAATTTTTGTTCATGGGGGAGTTGGCAGATCTTTTCTTTTTTTTTGCCCACTATCTTGTATGTAATATCAAACAAAGCAGAACAAAGCTGGGAGCAAGAAAAAGTAAGGGGGGGGGGGGGGGGGTGTTTTGACACACTATCATCTTAGGAGAGAAAAGGTTGGAAAACAGAAAAGTAAGCTGGCTTGTGGGTTTACTTTTTTGACACCAACCTGTGTGTCAAATCGAATGCAGAAGAGAAAAATCTGAGGGGGGGGGGGGGGGTTGCCAGCGTTCTGTTTCAAATCATGTTCTATTCTAGATTAGGGTGGTTGGAAGTGGTTTAACAAACTATTTGTGTCCTGGGATAGTATTTACTCACGACAATGTAGTTTCAGCTCTTTTTTTTAAGCTGTTTTTACTTACAGAGTCCTCTTGGGTTGTAGGGTTTTCACTGCGTTATGTGACATTTTAATGGAGGTCCAACAGACTGACCGGCAGTGACCTTTTAGTACGCATTTGTTTTACATGTTTTTTTTGGTCAAAAAATGCCCTTTGTAGTGGTAATTTTTTTTAGAGGCTCCTTTTCTTTTCTTTCGCGTACTGCATTTAACATTTGTGTTTGTAGATAGTGCAACGTTGTAGAACAAATCCAAGGAATAAATTTTGCTACATGGTCAAAATGCAGTCAAACCTGTCATCATGCCCCTATCCTAGCGGGTTTTTTTGGGGGGGGTTGCTTTTTTTTAACATTATAATGACAATGTAAGATGGCCACTCTTTAAGACAACCACTTTTCTACTTGACAATGAGTGGCTGTCTTGGACAGTTTCAAATGTAGAAAAAGGAGCCTTTTTTAAATTTATTTATTTTTCATAAATAGTGCTTGAGCAGTGTCTGTCATCTTGAAGCCAACTATAATGCCATGATTTCTGTTTTTCAGACCTCCAAAGAAAGTGGACAAACAGCCTTTTGTGTGGCTGAACCCGAGCAGAGACGAAGGGATCAGAAAGCTGCAGGTGAGCACACAACTTTTCCTAGCACTCTTCATGTGCTGCATGTGTTTTAGTTTAGTTTTAGTCAGAGTTGTACAGCACTTGTAACTCAAATAGATCATGAAAGTACCAAAGATTGGAGATATTACGAGAGAGTCACATACAAAGAAAAGATGGGAGGACGTGTTTGCGTCCATCTTTTGACACAGTTTGGTCAGTTTCTGTGTGCTAGAAGCAAAGATCGTACATAACAAGATAATTCACTTGGCCAAAAAAGCGTCTACGGAAGTCCACGCCTTGGCTCAGATGTCGCTGCAGTCTTTGTTTTGGAGCTCTCTTGTTTTTCCAGAAGAAGAATAGGAATAGCATCCCTTTGCCCATCAGCTGTTCCGGTTCACTCACTGCGGAGTTTTGGGTGTATTTTATTTTAGTGACCTCTCACTTCTCATTCTAAAGCCAAAAAAATTAAACGAAGAAAACAGTCACTCCTTCCCCCTGAAGAGGATTTTGTCATTTAAAAAGGCGTTATTCCGAAATTTTAATTATAATTTATACAAAAACTTTTTTAGTTTCACCTTGATTGTTTTCCACACAAGAAGGGTAAGGGTTCGCAGAGCGGGCGCTTTTTCCAAGAGGGCACCCCTCGGATTTTGAGAACACTATTTTAATTGTTCAAAGAGAGGAGTGAACCATCTTGTTATACAGAATCTTTGTTGGAAGTGAGCGATTTGTTGGTGCTCTTGTGTTGTCTGCTTTGCTTTTGTCAATGTTCCTTTTGTCCTAAACTTTTCCCTACCTGCGCCTGTGGTGTAGCGGTTAGACGATTTGCTGTCGCTCGCAGGAGACTCGAGTTTGATTCCAGAGTGAGGAGAAATCTTTATCAAGTATCTAGGTCTTCCTGCTGGGATGTTGTATCCCTCGTAGCCCAGGTTGGCCCTGGCAGGCAGGGTGGGGAGCCTATCTCTTAAATACTTTAATGATCTGAATTGTGTCGATTTGGGTGCCAAAAAATTTCTTACGTTCTCTTTGTTTCTTTTTTGGAGGAGTAGTATTTTCATTTTCAGCTTTCTCGGTTGGAAAAATCACCATGAAAATAGATGAATTTTTAAAAAAAATTAAAAGTAATACAGGAGACGATTGAGAAATTAAAGTGGGTAATTAATTAAAAATAATCTGTCACCAGGAATTTTCATCATCGCTCCAGCCTTTTGTGATTGCAAATTTGATTTTCTTCGGTTTAGCTGGGTTTTCTGTTCTGAGAAGTTACTCAAATGAGGGATTTTTTTCTTTTGGCTTACCCCTTTCCCCCCCCCCCCCCCCCCTTCCCCCCCCCCCACCGATGAATCGTCTTCGGTTTAAGCAGACTCACCTGTATTTGTGTGTGTGTGTGTGTGAGTTATTGTTTGAAGGTTTTTTTCCTTGTTTTTTCTCTTTCTAAATATTGATTTGTTGTTGTTCCTGTTTTTCCAGCCCAAAAAGGTTCCATTCCCATACCAGTCGGTAACGCAGTACGAGGCCTCCCTCCGCCAGCCGGTGTCGCGAGGCCTAGTCCGAGAGACGGCCACAAAGCTACTGACCAAACCGGCCGTGGTCACCAAACTGGGCCACATCATCAAGGCCATCGACAAGGAGGATTACTTTGAAAAGAAGTCCACTATAGAGGCGGACGACGAGGACAAGAATTTCGGCGTGGCTGCTGCCAAGGAAGGCGGGGCAAAGAGGGGCAGTGCGGGGAAACAGAACAACAAACGACGCAGCTTGAGATAACCACCGATTTTGGGGAGGGGGTTCGGGTCTACATGTGGGTGGGGGAGAGAGGAAGTGAAAGCTGCCTTTTTTTTCTTTTTTTTTTTTTTTTTCTTTTTTTTTCGTAATGTATGTGTGACAGGAAAGAGATGGGAGAATTGTGTGGATGGAAGAGAAAGTGAAAGGAGTGAAAATGCATGAGAAGAAGACGGACGGAAAGAGAGATGATGAATTAAGCGCCTTTTCTTAATAAAGTGAGCTTTCTTTGACGTGAAAGGAGATGATGTGAAAGGGAGAGAAACAGGGAGTGATGATGAAAGAGGTCTGTGTTATGTCTGCCACTGTTAAAGATTATATTATGATGGTAGGTCATACAAACTTATGGTAAATAAAAGTTTGCAATTGCCTAATTTTTTTGTTTTTTTTATTTTTTATTTCCAGTACAAGTATATGAAGCTACGCTGTTACCACATTGTCAGCTATTAACCCTATCCATACGCCCTGGGGTCATTTTGTACCGCCCGGGTTGTATTCTTCACATTTTAGAATACTTCTAGTGCGAAGATCTCTTTGAAACTTTCAGTATTTCTGAAAAAATCATTTTGACAGACTGCTATGCAAAGCATACGGATCGGATTACGAGCAAATTTCCTCTTTGGAAAGTGGTCGCACAGAGTTCCCCACGTCGTATGGATACGTAAACACGACGTATGGATGGGGTTAAATGTTTCTTTCTGAAACAAAGTAGAATGAGAACACAGTCTTGTTCAAATTATTTTTTACTGACTGAAATGAAACTCCCAAAACATCAAACAACAGGCAATGTCATAATACAAATTGAACTAATAACTCATCAGGTAGTTTCATTGTGAACCATGCAAATAATATTAATAAATTACGTCCTTGGTATTATATTCCATTTAAAAAACACCAATGGCCTAGGGCAAAATTCATCTAAATGTCAAGACAAGACAAACTTGTGACAGGAGAATTTTAAAAAAAAATCTTTTTCCAAACATAGCACAGGAACAAAGATGCTTTGATCCCATGACTGTTTGATACACAAGTATAATTAGATTAGCAACTGGGATAAAAACAGAAACAATGCAAAATTGGGTTTCCGTTCCTTGCTGTTTCATGTATAAAATCATCAAAGTGAATTCAAGAGTTAAGAGCGTGTAATCTGTTGCTTGCACTGCATGCTTCCTTGGAAGCCTAGCATGTTTCTGAGTGTTCTTGCTAGGGTAATAATAGTTGTAAAGCACAAAGAGCATGCTTTAGAGCGTTGATATACACTATATAAATGCAACTGTTACGGTATCGTTATAAAATTATTATTTCATTTTGGCCTACACGAATGTTCAGCAAATTAATAAATCTCGTGGCTGAGATATAACTGTTACAGTGCAAAATGGAATTTTTGTGCCGTTTCAGACGCTGGATTGGAAAAGTAAGTAAAGTAAAGTACTGTTTCAAACACAAAAGCATCAGAGAGAAATCAGAGTTCGATGTTTTTGTGCCCAAGGCCATCCATAAAAAATTTCAAAATATCATTGATCAATAATCGTCCAAATATCCTCTAGCTCAGATTAATCGCCACAATGTCATGACTTTTTTTTCCGGAGAGAAGTGACCATGTTGCTTCAAGGTAAACCACTTGTCATGATTTACGCTGTGTCAGCTCCACTTCTTTGCCGTCATAATTTCTGTTTGATGGAAAGAAAAAGCAAACAAGATTCTTGTCAAACAGGTTTCTAAAATAAAATTAATACTTTTTTGTCATGTGAAACATGTCGCAGACTAATTCTTTTTTCTTTAACTGCTGTGGGATCATTGTCTCTGTATTGATTAAATATTTCTCCAGTTTAAAACACACAAGTGGAGCTCTTAGTAGGCACTTTTGTAAAAACATTTTTTAAAATGTTTTAAATCAAATTGATTACATTAAAAGCCTTTGTGACTTTATGAATTTCCCATTTCTGAAATAACAAAATTGGAGACATCAAAATCAACAAAGTGTTGCTGAATCAAATTCAGTTTCTCTTTCTTGGTGTATACCTCTGTGATACTCTGTCTCGTATGCCTTCTTCTATCTGTCCAGTGAAAGGAAGACCTTGCTCCTCAAAGACTCGACATATAGACTAGACTTTAGACCCTATAACTCAACTTGTGTCTTGTGTACGACGCAAGGAAACAGCAAAAACACACAGTCACATACATAGTACATTGTAGATAGCTGCCAACTTTTCAAAACTAAAAAACAGACAACCCACATGGCACATCAAGATGGTGGAGTGGGTGGTTGGTGGGTGCTCTGGTGTGGTTTGCTTCTTCTTTCCTATACATCTATCGTCCTTACCTCCCCTGCTTTTTTTAATGTTTGTTACTCACTTGTAACACCTCCAATCTTCTGGCGCTCATATGACCTTATGCAGTTGCAAGCGCCGTAAAACCTCTACTAAAACTAAAACTAAAACTAAAACTGAACAAGACAGTGGGCATTGGCCAAGTAACCACCTTCTCAACCCCTTCATACAATTTCCTGCATTTAGTAAATTCAATATTACTAACAAATTTACAGAGGGAGATCAAAGCAAAAAAAAGCTGCTTGTACACACAACAACCTACCGATAATCCCATTCACTGATGCCCCATCCTCGGATTCCATTGACAGTGTAGTTACAGAATCTTTCAAATATTCTTGCGTCCCAGTCCTCACCCATGTAGAAAATGGGACACTGGATCACTTCACAGGTTAAGTCGTACTTTTGACCACCTGCAGAGAAAATGAATATCTTGTATCAGGACAGGGATGATATAGTTTGTCAATTGGCAACACAAACACATCTGTAGATTTATATAATCCCTTCTAAAATGGAGATAAGTGGGTGCTCTGGTGTGGTTTACTCCTTCTTTCCCATCAAACACCCATCGTCCTGATCTCTCCTACTTTTTTTTCTGTGTTTGTTACTCTCTCGTAACACCTCTAATCTTCAGCACTTATATGACCTTATTGTGTTGCAAATGCCGTAAAACTCCATTAAACTAAAACTTGAAGATAACTTCAGATAAAGACAGGTATCGCTACAGTACTGTATACTTTCGAGAGGTTGCTGAAATAATAAAATAAAAAACGTCACAGATTTTCTTTTCTTTCAGTCTACCGCTGTTTCTGGATTAAGTTTAAGTAGATTCCATGGTATCTTTATCAAAGCTATGGCAAGCATTCTTCTTCTAGTTCTACCGGAAAAGAAAAACAAACAAAGTTCAGCTCTACGTGGATTTGTCTGCACGCCGGATAAAAAGTAAAGTGGCTGGGGGGGCAGTGAGCACGTACCAGCAGTGAATTTCAAAGATAACTTTTCAGGAGGCTGCCCGTCTTCTCCCCAGTTGTAGAACTCAAAATCTGTCTCAGACACGGCATCCATGGAGCCGTCAGGATGGAAGAAGTAGCCAACAACCAGCCTGGAGATACAAAAAAAAAACGCGGGAGAAATCACATTGTAAAGTGGGCTAAGGGAAAATTGCCTACTTATTCAGTGACTCACTGTTGTTATTTGCAAGACATTTACTCTAATTCTGAAGGACTTAGAGATGTTTTTGTTGATGTTATCTTTCTCATTCACAGTATAAACTTACTTACACTAGTTACACTACACTTTTTAGCATTGTGGATCAGGCAGGGTAAAAGATAAACTTAAAATTAAAGGAGACATTTTTAATGTTGTTTGAAAATTCTTTTTTGAAAAATCAGTTTTGGAGCAATAGGCCCTACATAAATTTATATATAGCAGTTTTAAAGAATATAAGAGCAAATCCCTCGCTAACTCCCTAATCGTCTCAAGCGTAAATTGATTTCTCTTTCACACCTGCAAAACGAAAGAGCCATACATTATACAGTAGTCTCCGCCTAAACGCACGGTGTTCGGGAGGGCCCCTAAGCGTGTGTTTATACGGACATGCGTTTATATGAACCTGTGCAAAGACAGACTCAATGTAACGATATCCACCATAAAATGTCGGGAACAGATAGCCCAAGAGGAAACTGTTTGTGATAGTCATAGAGACGACGGGCCAGCCACGTGGCTTTCCAAGTGAACATGCCCAACCGTAAATTCATGGACGACATCAGAATCATAGATCTCTACATTTCTCTTGTGATTCAATGAACAAGTAGCATGTTATAAGTTTTTCAAGCACAGCTGAGGTTACTTGACTAATCTTTAATCCTATAGAGACCTACCTAGTGTTTTACAGCATTCACGTGTGTTGTGCGTCATAGGCCTAGGTCTAACTAAACATTACAAGCAGTCACCCAAACACCAGTCAGAAACCTTCTCACAAAAATGCATTTCCAGTGACCAATCAAAAAACTTTTCAGTCCCCCAACAATTCACCGACCAGTCCTAGACCTAGATCTATGTGTCTGTGGAAAGTTGGTGTGAAAACGCTGCCCATCACTCTCTTTGTTTGGCGTGAGGGGCAGTCTCACCAAATAGGCCCTATCCGGTTTTCTAGGCTTGTCTTAAGCAAGCTATGCAGGCTGCAGCGAAAATTTCCCCTTGTCAAGCTTTACCTGCCAGCGTGTTTCGAGGATTGAAGCGTGTGTTTAGAGAGAGTAATCGTGCGTTTGTACGTCTAAATTATATAGTAAAAAGAAACTTCATATGACAAAAGCGTGCATTTGAGTGGAGCGTGCTTTTGAGTGGCGTGCGTTTAGGCAGGGAATACAGTACAAAAATGATTAAAGGTATATCAAGAAACATAGATTTCTGTCTTATTTGTCAGGTAAGTGAAAGGAGGAAAATAGGAAATTGGCAACAACACTCTTATCAAACAGAAATTGCAAGCAACTCGGATTGTAGTAATTGTGTACTGGTAAACAGAAGTCTTGGTAAAAGAGAAATAGGGCCTACATACTGTAAAAGAGTTTTCAAAGACTCCTTTGTGAAAGAAATAAAAATTCAAGGGTTTGTTGCGGAGTACCGTACAATTTTTTAAGGCCAGCAAAATTTAGTCAGTTCGAATAACTATTTCATTGAAATTGGCCCGACTGGCTAAAGAAACAAACACATATGATCTGAGGAAATCAAATTATGAAGAAGAAAATTGGCCTCAACTCATAGATATCTTCCTGACTTTACCTGGACAAAGACATAGGCATGCAGATCGCTCCTACACACAAGGCACTGCCATCTTCTAAGTGCGCATAGTTCAAGGCATAACGGTGGAAATATTTCCAGTCTCGGATATTTCCTGCAATATAAAATACAAATGGTTTCTGCTATAAGTTAGCTTGCTTAAGTACAAAATATCAACAAAATGCATCAAGATAAGCTTGATTTAACAATGCCTCGTTTTAAAGCCACACACAAGTTAGGACAAACTCAGCCTGAATTATATCTATTTACCCCCGCGGTTTTATTTTTAAAAATTCTGAAGTTATGCAAACTGAGCCCAAAAATGTGAAATTATGCGAATCTGTTGATTTTAACAAAGAATGATAAAGGAAAATAATCAGAAATGAAGCAAAAAATGATCAAATTTTGCTAAATTATGCGGGGTGTATAAAACCACAGGGGCAGATCCATAAGAAATACAACAACAACTGAAACTACAAAGAAAAAACCAATGTGCTATTGCTATATCATATCTATTGCAGAAAAAAAAAAACATTTCTCGTTTCTTTTTCATTTTCATCTGCAAAAGATCCCCCCACACTGTTTATTTTTCTTCTTCTCCTTCTCCTCTAACCTCAAGATGTTTCCCAAATCCCCCAAAAATACATGGTACAACACTACTATACACCAAAAACACACGCTATGAATGACTTCATCTCTAAGGATAAGAACACTCTACAAATGAGTCCATCTCTACTAAAGATACAGCAGTGGCAATAAGGGCAGCTCAACGAGGCCATTCTGAAAAACAACAACAATCAGTGGCAAAGCGTCCACACAGTGGAAACCATAAATAACAGGCTCGGTAATAACAGGGATTTTTAAAATCCCCGTTTTTTCCTATTCTTTGTCTCTTTTAAAAGTTATCGGCAACAACAGGGCCTCATTGGAGCCCAATCGGTTATAACAGGGACAAAGGCTCGTTAACAATGTGTAAAGAGTAAGAGGGGGGAGAGAGAGAGAGAGTAACGCAGTGATGGAGCAAGCACACGTAGCGGGTGAAGCGAGAGAGGGCTGCGGCGTGCTGCATACTTCAATCTAGCCCTAAGCCTAGCTACACACACTTGTGATAGCCATGCACAGGCCTGCCACATTGCCAAAACCCCTGTTTGTGGGTACTTGTGGGAAGGGAAAGTGCCCATGGATAAATAAAGCTGGACAAGTGAACAAATGCCTACTTTCCTTACATTTCTGATTTAACAGGGATCTGATATAACAGGACTTTTTCTCTGGTCCCACCATCCCTGTTATATCAGGTTTCCACTGTAATCAAATAATCACGGATTCCCTTCCTAATTTTGAAACATTGTTGCAGTCAAATTCACCCATGAACGTAAACCTCATAAATTAAATGTAAAAAGACGTTCATTATCTCCAATGAACAGTATACCTAACATTCAAAACGGTTTCATTGCCACAGAATAGCCTGTTCAGCCCTTTCAAGCCACTTTATAAGCAGTCACAAGCTTTGATTAAGTAAGCTTAAAGTGAGGCTGGAAGAGTCTACAAAAAGAGTTGAAGGGAACCTCCTGTGCACAGCACTCAAAACTGTTTCATTGCCACATATACCCTGTTCACCCCTTTCAGGCCACAGTCAGAAGCAGTCACATTCACAAGCACTGATTATGTAAGCTAACTGTTACACTGGTCAAGTCTACCTCACAAATGTGAAGGGTACTAACTCCTAATATAATCTCTTGACAGCTGCGAGTGCTGTTTTTTTTCCCTCGACTTTTTACCGTCCTATAATCAGAACGTGACCTCAATTATGACACCGGCTCCTGGCTGCGTAAAGCTAGACCAAAACAGCCAAGTGTGAAATAAAAAATTGATAATTGTCACATTCTACCAAAGAGTTTAGACTCACTGGTATTACATGTAGATTAGTACTGGCACTAGTGACACCTCTGCTTCTTTGCTTTGTGTTAGGGTATTCACATCTAAAGTTAAATTTAATGTTAGTTCCAATAAATGTTTAATGAGATACTTTCCCGATTATTTTGGTGGTTGAACATACAATATGAATTCAGAATTTGTTTTGAATCACAACTCAGTGTTGCTGCCTCAAGTAAGATTCTTGTGTGATATCTCCAGGTTCTATCTGGTCCCGTCTCACTTTGATTACCCTGTCAAACAAGTCAGACTTTGCCCCAGACAACAAAGCTAATTTAGCTTCTAACGATGCACCTACTTTGCCCCAGAAATGTCTCACCCACCGTAGGAATGGTCTCTGACTCCCTGCACTCTGATTCTCTGGTCGGGGTGGCCATCAATATGCAAAATGCCAGAAACCTCTCCAAACTGTTCGTAGTGAGTCTGATGTGCCCTGGGACAGTTCAATAAGTAATTGTTGCTCTTCACACCATAAGCATAATAATAACAATAATAATAATAACAATAATAGTAATAATGTTGATCATTTGTATAGTGCCTTCTCCCATGTGCACACAGCTCTAGATGGTTTGCATAAATCAAAGTACAAAGAGCAATAACAACTGGGACGTTATGATTATTGAATCAATGAATGTTACTCTCCAACAGTGGAACTGGTAGAAAAAGTTCGACTCTTTCTTTTTATTTTGTTCTAAAACATTTGCTGAGGTCAGTCTGTGGGCTCTCAATAAAAATCAGTTGGTCAGCGTGCACTATAAATGATACATGAAGTCAAGTGAGCTAACTCTTTTAGCTTTCTCTCATTTACCGAAACCGGAATAGTTTTGTCTTGGCCTACCAAAAAATGTTCCAGAGACCAGTTAAGTTAACCTGAGTTAAATGGTTAAAGCATGACACCATCATATGTATCCTCAGAGCCAAATGAGAAAACTGAAGAATTATGAGTTTGATAAACACAAGAATATTGTTTTTAAAAAGTACCTTACTCCTCATAAACATAGATCTAGGCATAGAGTAAAGCCTGTATTCAAGCTACAAGAGACAGTGGCTGAATAGGATAGACTTGCAGCAAGTTCTTCAAAAATAGAACAACACATTTATGAAGCTGGAGCCCACTTTCAAAACTGAGCTCACAGACGACAAAAAAGCATAACAACCGCCCACGCCTGTCAAAAAAACAGACAGAAAGATCCGTGTCCAACACATTCATCACATCCAAGCACGGTCTAGATACACATCACAGTAATTTATTAGTAAAAAGACGATATTCAACTCCATGTTGTAGAACTGCATAAGATTCTCTAGCACTTGTCCTTTCTACAAAAGTCAACACAGAATAGCTTCTGCTTGAGGTGACCTTAGTACATGTAAGAAACAGTGGGGCACCCATCCCTTCCTCGGTACATGTAAGAAACTGAGGGGTACCCATCCCTTCCTCGATAACACTGTACTCATACTATCACGGCAACATTGCTTCCCATGCAAGGCGGGATCAAAGTCTTTTTGCACATAGAAAAAGACAAAGAGCTGCTGTTTCTGTAATTAATTAAACAACAAAAAAACCCAACAACAACAAAAAAAAACCAAGACATAAACAAGAGGTGCATTACTCAACTGTATAATTTTTGTCACCTTTTCAGTGTGTCGAAGTATTCTCTTGACCATGTCTCTCTGGCAATACCATCAGCCATTACATGTGGGTGCAAATCTGTATCAAAGTCAAAACATTTGGTGTAGGCTTTCCATATCAAGTTGAAATCCACCTTCACTGATTTCCCTGTCTCCGCAATTCTGAAAATTTAAGAACATAATAATAATAATAATTGCATATATAATATAGTGCATATCCATGCTCAAGAGCATGCTCTATGCGCTTTACAACTATTATTGCCCCAGCAGACCCTCTGAGAACACTCAGAAACATTCTCGGCTTTCGCGGAAGGATACAGTGCAAGCTGCGGATTTCACACGCTCAAACATTATCAAACTGACGAGATCGTTCACTGTCTATAGTCAGGAACCCATTTCCACCTGGGTGAAGAGAGGAAAATTTGAGCAAAGTGCCTTTCCCAAGGACACAGCGTCGGGCCCCTGACGGGATTCGAACCCACGACCTTACGGTTGCGAGTCCGAGAGCCTAATCACTAGGCCACAGACGCCACATAAGAGTGTCAGTTAAATTGACACCCTATTCTTGGAGAAATTAATTCTACGAGCGAGTATAAAACCATAAAAAGCATCGTGAAAACAATACAGTAAAGAAGGTTTCTTTTTATAAGTTCTTGGAAACATGCCAAACCACAATTTGAAGGTATTTAAGTCCCAACAATGTAACTTAAAAAATAGGTCAACCAGTGGGCCACTGATAAAAATCAGGACTCAACATGCACTATAGATAGTATAAAAGCACTGTGGGCTAATTATTTTGTTTTTTCTCGTCAATTAAATCAGGAAACTTTTTTTTTTGCTACTTGATTAATTTTTTCAAATCATGGTTATAGCATAACACCATTGAAGTAGGCCTGATCTGAAAGAAGTTGGTAATCTCTATTCCCGTATTTTACCTCATTGTTCCATCAAATGTGATAGACCAACTTTCCATCGGGCTGATAGGAGTCAATGTAAGGCCTCCACCAGAGAAGCCTGATCTACTTGCTGTGTCTTGAAGCCAAGTGTCCGGTAACGTTGGCATCTCCAGCAGTCCTATAGATGGGATCTATATATGAGAGAAGATAAAAGTTTAAGCTTTAAATAAAGTCTCATTTCGTAGATTAATAAACATTTCAAGTTTTACGAGGTTGGGTCTCTCGAGAAAATCCACACAGGAATTTATTCAAATTTCTTGCATTGAGTAATTGAGGTTTTTTAAAATACAAACTTTACAAATTATGATCTTCTCATTTCGTAGATATTGCACAATGGTATCGATGTGTACACAATTGAAAGAATATGACTTTCGTAATAACATATCATGATCTGTGATGTGTTTTGTGCCCCTCTTTTTTTCCCACAGCTTTTATACGACAGCTGCATGCAGAATTAGCTTCCTCTTCACTAAGGATGCACTGCTCTACAATACAGCAGGCTACTGAGGAAACCAGTCAGATATATTCGACCCACTGACCCAAATTTTTATTCTATCAAATATGTTAACCCTAACAGTTTTGTGTTCTTTATGTGACAGCATATTGTTCTTCTGTGATGATTTTGAGAGGTGCTGGCTGTATCTCTCACCCTCCATTCTGAAGTCTCAACAATGTTAGATTTTCCACCAACAGAATTGGTTGGCTCAATACCAACAACTCTGACACCGCCTTGATTTGCCAAAATACACAGAGTTAGTATACAAGTACAGTAACCTGAAAAAGAATAAAGATATTAATTTTTTCCTCCAGCTTTTCCCCCTCTATTATTCTGAGAGTGCGCCAAACTAATCAAATGACAGCAAAAAGCATTTACAGGACTTACACGAAGATATAAAACTGTTTGCACAAAATTGTCCTGTCTTCTGGCAGTGGCTGTCACCATGAACACTCCTTCAGAGTTACCTCCATTGATGTAGACTGCATCCACTGCCTGGAAGAATACAAAAACAGAAGATAATTATCACAAGCTGAGTAAGAGTGAAATCAAACTGACATGAAGCTCCCCCTTTTTAAAGATTCATAAAAGTAACAGATTACATTTAAGGAATGCTTATATTGAAATATGCTGTAACATTCAGTAAAATTGGGCATATTAAATTCATGCCACAACAGATTTCAACATAGGCGTATATTATCATACCTCAGCAACTGTTTTAGCATTTCCCAGACTAGCAACAATAATGCTGAAAATAAAAATATATTGAACTTGAGACCTGCTTTTGCATGGCTTATATTTCAATGGAAAAAAAGTTTGAAGAATAGTTCTGCAGTGGAAATCTGGTTCTTTGGGGGAATTTTTTTGCTTCAGTAAGAAAGGTGTAAGCATAAACTGAGAGAGTGAGAGAGAGAGAGAGAGAGAGAGAGAGAGAGAGAGAGAGAGAGAGAGAGAGAGAGAGAGAGAGAGAGAGAAAGAGAGAGAGAGAGAGAGAGAGAGAGAGAGAGAGAGAGAGAGAGAGAGGGGAGAGTCGAGAGAGAGATCAGAGAGATGAGAGAGAGAGAGAGGGAGGGAGGAAGAGAGAGGTGAGAGAGAGAGATGAGAGAGAGAGGGAGAGAGAGAGAGAGAGACAGAGAGAGAGAGAGAGAGGGGGGGTGAAGCAATTGGGGCAGGGGTTGGGAGAGAGATACAGAAGCAAGGTGGGGGGGGGGGGGTAAGAATAGGAAACTTATGTGGCTGTAATGTAATTGGAAAGGGGTCAGGAGCAATTTAAGGTTGCCTGGATGAAAAAATTCACTCCACTTGGGTCAGAGCAGTGTACATACACATGGCTGAAAGTCTTTTTCTGTGTTTCAGAACGCAACTCCTCACACTCACAGTTCAAGATGTGTACATGCTTTGCAAGTTTCTCTACCAACCTCAATACTCCATGTTGTACAAACAGTTCCATACTACTACTATACCTTTGGCATGTCTTGGGGAAGTTCCTGCAGTTTGTCCATTTCCTCTGGGGAGTTTCGAGATTTCACTCCGTACCCAGCATCTGAAGAAGATGCCTGCTGTCTGCGCAGACGGAGTTGATTTTGACATATCTTACGGGTCCACAGTACAAGTCTAAAAATCCAGTACTTGATCGGGTAATGGAAACTGGGCTGTGTATATATTCGTGGAACCTTCACTGTCGTTAACTTGTGGGGCAACCACTGAGCCAGAAGCCAGAATAAAATACTTGTGGAAACTGCGCTGAAAACAAGGAAGAGCGTCATGTTGCTAGCCGAACTCTGACCCTAGGAAGATATGGACAAAGGACACGAACTCTGGTATAAAATTATACAATTTATCAGTTATGCCCCTTCGGGTCGCAGCCACACCCCCGTTGCCTGCCTCTCGCTGTCTTGTATACCTTGACGACTACCAGTCAGCACCAACAGACAAACGTTAGATTTGTACATGTATATATAGAATCTATGCATTTGTATTCGCATATACTCCTTGATAGAAATCAGAATACAAGTACTTTATATTGGGTTCTTGTACTGCCTTGCTTCTATGAGCATCTGTTAGGAATTAAACGTCGGCACGATTTGCAGAGTCGTGTACGTAGCCTACTGTAGACTGTAGATCTATGGCATGGCATTTCATCTACGGTTAGATCCAGAGATCTAGGCCTAATTGTCCTTCGACGAACAAAAATGGTAAATTAAAATACAAGTATTAAATACATTGCGCAAAAAAACCCAACCACAACTGCAGTTACGTATGATATCTCCAGAAGGCACTCCAAAGGGTATACCGATATATTTTCAGAGGCGTATCCACGATACATTTGAAAGGGGTCAAGTGAAAAACAGGCAAAGCCGTACCGTCACATTAACCCAATAACAACCAACGTAGCCTGTTTTTCACTTTTTATTACGGACTTGGCTTGTTCTTTTAATTCGATTTGCTTTCATGAAAATACAAGTAGTCAACGACTTAGGTGTTCTGGGTGTTTGTTTGTTTATTTGTTTGTTTTTTGTTGTTGTTGTTGTTTGTGTTTTTTGGCGGGGGCGGGGGTTTGTTTGTTTTTGTTACTTGTTTTTTGTTTTGTTTTTTTACTTGACTGACATGCAGTACTTTAATTGACTTTTTCACTCATGAGTACCTTATGACTTTTTTACTGGAATTCCTTCATCTTTGTGACAAAGAAATCCCACATTCAATAGGACATCTAAAACTGTTATTCGGGACACAATTGAATGACTTATTTTCGTTTGTAGTCTGGAAATTTAAACCAAATCTACATAACTGAATTCACCGTTGTAATTATTTTTCTGTAGGCTTACACGTGGTATGAATGAAAGGCGATTAAATTTTGTATATTCTAATCTAAGTAGTCTATGATACGAATAAATAAGTAATGGCCAGTATTCCCTTGACAATAGAATAAACATTTAGTGAGGGGGCTCTCATGGCCTAGAGATTAAGGTGTTCGCCTCTCATTCAAAGATCCCGGGTTTGAATCCGGGTAGCAACGGAAAAATATTCTAGCTTCTCTAAAATTGTCTCCTTTCACCTCCTTTTCTGCTCGAGATCTCTAGCAATGTTCTGTCGTCTGCTTTCGTCTTCACTTTCTGCCTCCACTCCTCATAACCTCCAATTATTGCCCTTTCCTCTGCACTCTACTGCTTCTCCTTGGCTTTGTCTTACTGCTGTCTTTCAGCCACACCCCCTGATCTTCTGGTAGGAAAGATCTACACATAGCCTTCTCGGACAAGGGTGAAAAATCACGGGGGTCCAATGAGCAAGTTGCGCACTTTAAAGAACCCTTGGTCGTCCAAAATCGATAAGAGTAGGCTTCGGCCGCCACCCGGGAAAAATTCAAAATTTCGTACCAACTGAAAATGTTTAGTATGTCCCGCACGCTCATATATGACCTTATGCAGTTGCGAGCGCAGTAAAAACACTGACCAGAGAAAGCTTTGGTGTCTGCGGTAACAGTAACTGCTCTTTTCTAAATTCTCTCTTTCGTCAACTACCTTGCTCTTTATTTGGAAGACTATAAGTCTTAGGGTATGTTGTAATTATGGGTTATTTTGCTTATATAACTTCTTTTGCCTTCAAATGGAACCCAATCCATTAGCTTTTGGAAAAGTCGTCTGAACAGATGCTTCTAACAAGACAAATTAATTTATCTTGCTATTCAGAAGTGCCGCTTCCGCTGTTGTTTGCAAGAGGAAGGAGCGCTCTGTTTTTGTTTCTTCCACACTTCGGCTGTGCTACTGTTCTAGATGTGTCTCCTTCGTGTTGAGCCAAGTAAGCCTATTCATGTTGTTCTACATCATGCTAGTGTAGTTCCTCTGGGGTTTTTTCTTTTAGTAAATGTTTTACGGCACTTGCAACACAATAAGGTCATATTATTAGTGCCGAAGATTAGAGGTGTTACAAAAGAGTAACAAACACAAAAAAGGAGGGGAGATAAGATTGATAGATGTTTGACAGAAAAGAAAGAGCAAACCACACCAGGGCACCAGCCAACCACCCACGTTCCGCCTCTGCACCAAAGATTCTGTAGTGAGAATCTTTGTCCGCACTGCGTTCCTGTGCCATGCCCATAGTACAGGAAGAGTACGCGCGAACTTTGGGAGTGGAGTCAAAAGGTAGGATCCATACAAAACCTTGACGTTATCTGGTTATGTTATAACAGGCCCTAGATGTAGTGGTGATTAAAGTTGTACTTGCTGAGCTGCCGAATTACTTTTTTTCCCCCTTAAGTGTCTGTACCGTAAACACAACCGTTTTCATCCATACCCCCACCCCACCCC